AGGGACAGGAAAGCATCCTGGGTACACAAAAGTCAAGGCTCCAGGATCTGCCCTGGGGGCTATCTCAACACCCCTACACTCTCACTGCAGGTAGTTGGTCAGCTATGAATATGACCAGCTCTCGTGGTTTGTCTTTATTCGGTGGAACACAGCAGCACTGTGACCTGCCCATGAGAAGAAGGATTTTTAAGAACTTATCTTAGAGCAATTTTAGGTGGAGGAGAAGACAAGATGGTGTATGGGAGAAACAGATCTATTAACCCTGGTATTAATATTAACTGGCTGCCCAGAATAAACGAAGAATAGCTTATTCTTTGCCAGGCTGAAGATAGAAAAGGAATGAAGGGCTGGAGAAGTAGAGCTGGGTGAAGCACAGAGCAACCCAGTGCTTGGCATGGAACTCAGATCTGAAGCAGCCTCTCCAGGACTTCTCTGAGCCTGCCCCTGGTGATATGACTGGGATATCACTGCTTCTATAGTTGCCAACCGACAGGTCCTAGCTCCTAGACCATACACGGCCTTATGGAGGACATTTCCTTCCATCCTGCATCCAGGTGGCTGGTCCTGCTCCTCCCAGTCCATGGAGAAAAAAGAATTGAAACAAACTGTCTAAGCTGGGTCAGGTACTCGGCAGATGTTTGCTGAGTATCATTCTTCATGGAAATCCCCGTGGAACTCCTACATTTTCTCCTCTCTTCTCCTTCCTTTCAGAACCTCAGAGCGATAGAGCCAAAAGACCAGTGCCTCATTTTGCTGACATGGAAAAGGAAACTTTGTGGGGGAACGAGATCTGCTTGCAGTCAGCCAGAGAGACAGAATAGGTGCAGCAGTGAGCTCTCATGACCTGGTGTCTGTTGCCTTCTGGTTAAGTTTTTCACTTGTAACTCTACAAACATCCCTTCTGTAAACATCTCCCTAAAAGTGGAGTAGGAAGCTCTCAAAAATGGACCACAAAGGAGTCAGGAATATAACTTTCTTTGCCCAGATTCCAGGACTTACAGTGAGAAAGCACCTTCTGGGAACTTCACAATGGCTAAAGTGTGCTAATGGGATGATGTGTTCTTGTACACCCACTGCCTCTGAACTCTGCTCTGCATTGCTGAGCAAACTACATTTCCCAGAATTCCTTGCTGGATTCCTTCCAAACAGGTTTACCACCGGGAGAGCTTGTTGGTGGGGGAGGGCAGGAAGAGGGAGGAGAGAGGAAGGGACTCACTTTCTGTTTCCAACTGAAGTCTAAATCAATCCAGTAACAACAGGCAGCTATCATACTACCCTCATTGTCACCCCTCAGAGGTCCCACTGCAGCTGCCTAATGTCCCCTTGCTGGCCTGAACATGAGATGAACAATACTCTTCTTAGGAGAACCAGCCCCACTTGGTACATGGCCACTTTGAATAAAAGGTGCATTTTCTGGATTCTCTTGCAGCTATATTAGGTCATGTGACAAAGTTCTGGCCAATGGCAAAGGAACACAAATGATGTGTACAGATAGAAGTAGCTGGGTGTCTGATACTACATAGATTATGCTTGCACTCACTCTTAAGAGAGAGACATGAACTTTTACCCACGGAAGCCAGTATTATTTTGAACCTCTGTTAGAGTGGCTTGAATCTGTATCCTAACTAGTATCCCTAATGTGTGACCCATGAAAATTAGCCAGGCAGCACCAGTTCTAAAGAAGCTGACACCCCCCTGAAGCTGCTTCTGCCAAGGTCACTGATATCTCCCTTCGATAAATCTTGTGGGTGTTTTCTTCAGTCCTTGTCTTAATCACTCAGTGGCACTTGGCACTCATTCCTTCTTGAAACCCTTGTTTCCCCTGGCTCTGTGGCATCCCATACTCTCGGTTTTCTCCCACATCTCTGACCCTCTTTCCTTAGTCTTTTTTCTTCTTCCTCCTGTCCCTTAAATGCTGGTTGTGATCCTCTTTTTATCTCATTCTACACACGCACAGCCTGAGTGATTCACATTGTCTTGGTGCTGAGAACTTCCAAAATGTTGCTCTAGCCTGGATCATTGTTATGAGCTCTAGACTCACAAGGTCAATTGCTTGGTGGAAACCCCTCCCCCATGGTTATCTCATGGGCCCCTCAAGTCTAACTTCTTCTTCACTGAACTCATCACCTCTTCTATTCCTCCTCCTGGGTTCCCAGGCTCAGTGGTGGCACCACTGTCTACCTGCCTGCTTAGCCTGAGACCTGGCTCCATCCCAATTCCTCTCTCTCAGTCTTATCATCCCCATCCAGGCAAAGCATTGATTCTGTGGACCTACCCTTTCAGGTGTCCCTCAAATATCTCCACTTCTCTCTGTTCTCACTAGCACTACCTCGGTCCACCCTGCCATCTGCTTTCCTCCTCCACTCCTGCATTCTGAGTCATTTTCGGCAGCACACGCATCCTTAAAACCCCTCCACTGGCTTGCCAGTGTCCTTAGGATTAGGCAAAAAGTCTTTGCTTTGTTTTACAAGGCCCTTCGCTATCTGCCCCCACCCCCCACCCCATTACCTCCCTTGCTCTGCGTGTTCCAGTCCTGCAGAACTACATATGGTTCCCCCAACAAGTCCCTGCTCTGCTCTCCCCACACACTGCTCTGCCCGGGCTGCTCTTCCTGCTCCTTGTCAGCAGGCTTGCTGTTCTCAGGCTCAGCATGGACAGCTGCTTCTGAGAGCCTTCTCTGCCTACCCAGGCTGGGTGGCTGCCTCTCTTTGGTGTGCCCATGGCAGCCCAGAATGCCTGGTGGACAGGGAGCCCTCAGCAGGCTGTACTGCAGCGCTCTGCCTCCATCAGCCTCTAGGAGCCTGGAGTCCAGGGACAGCAAGAGCCGTCCTGTCTTTCTCACCCTTGTCTCTCCAGCCCCTAACGCAGGGGATACCTGACCCCAAACTAGATGAGTTACTTGACCTCTCTGACCCAAGACAAAATGGGAGGAAAGTGTTAAATTTCCAAGATTGGCTAGGGGATTAAATAAGATAAATATGCAAGTCTCTTGTCCAGGGGCCTGGCTTGGTAAATATAAAGTTCTTTTTTCTTCTCTTTTTCTTTTTTTTTTCTTTCTTTTTGAGACAGGGTCTTACTCTGTCACCAAGGCTGGAGTGCAGCGGCATGATCATGGCTCACTGAAACATCAACTTCCTGGGCTCGGGTGATCCTCCCACCTCAGCCTCCTAAGTCTCTGGGACTACAGGCATGCACCACTATGACTGGCTAATTGTTTGTATTTTTAGTAAAGACACGGTTTTGACATGTTGCCTAGGCTGGTCTCGAACTCCTAGGCTCAAGTGATCCACTTGTCTCAGCCTCCCAAAGTGCTGGGATTATAGGCATGAGCCACCACGCCCAGCTAAAAGTTTCTTTTTAAAATCTGCTTGTTAGATATGCTCATAGAAAGGTAACTGGCCACAGAAGGGAGAGGAACGGCAGTCCATCCAGGGATCACTGGAGTGTCATATGAAATGTTATAGGAATCACAAGCCTTAGAACTTGAAAGGAACCCAAGGACCATCTAGGCTACTTCATGCAGGTAAAACAGCCACCTGTGCCCATCACACAACTGGGGCACAGCTGGAGACCCCAACAGAGAGGAGAGCTGATGGGTGACCAGAACTCAGGCCTCTGCACCATGGCAGCCTAGCTAATGGGTCTTGGCTGGAAGCTAACAGGAAGGCCTCTTTCCAGAAACACTATAAGCCGGTGTTTCTCAGATTGCTGGGTGTAATTCATAGGCAGATCATGAAATCAGTTTAATAGCTTTGACCAGCATTAACCCACTTCTGCCTAGCGTTCCATTATTGGAACACTAAGCCTGTGGGAGTTATTTACATCCCACTGCTTAAGGTCATCGCCAAGGTCTGATTTTTTACACAAAATTTTGCAACCTCCAGCATAAATGGGTTAAAACAAAACAAAACAGTACCAGAATGAAAAATAGTGCAAGATCTGTACAGTATAGTTGTATAAAACTTCTTGTTTTATCATTTGATGTCATGAAAGTCCCTGCTGTAGATAGAAGATGGGGGAGCTTGTGCTTCTGAGTGGTCATGCTTAACAGGGTGGGGAGCCCAGGGGAGTGGGGAGTGATCTTGTAGATAGAGGTGGGTGGGGCCAGTGTGAGCCTGACGGTCAATTACTTCTCATTTCTAGGGAAGATTGAAGGAAAAGAAGGAGGGGGATGTAGAGGGGAGAGAAGACCTCAGTAGAGTTTGCACTATTATTAGGGCAAGTAAGCTGCTTCTGAAAAGAAGGGGTTTGCAAAGGCAACCTGGGCAAAAGCAACCTGCTGGAAGAACGTCATCCGCAGCTGACACTGTGGGAAGGACCCCATGCAGAAGCAATAGGGCAACCTGGTCCCATATCCTCATGAAATGCCTCTTATAATTGTGACATCTTGCAATGGTGGAGGACTTTACACTTTTCAGAGTTTCCAGCCCCTCATTTATTTCTCGTAAGACCTCTGGGAGGTGGGGGAGACGGTATCATTATCCCAATTTGGAGATGGGGAAAGAGGATTGGAGTGAGCTAAATGACTGCCAGATCCAAAACTAGAATTCAGAACTCCTAGTTTCTTAGTGAACGCTCCTTCTACAGCACCATAATGTGAGTGCTCTGTGTTTACAGGGTGTATTCAAGTCCATGACTGCCCATTAGAATCCCCCCCAAAAATTCCAGGGCTGGCCTGAGTTGCTCCTTAGAGCAATGAAATCAGAGTCCTGGGAGTAGGGCCCGGGCCTCAGGATCATTTAAAGCTCCATTTGCAGAGCCTCGTGCACAGCCAGGTTGGATCCATCTCCCAGTCCCCCAGCCTTGGCCCAGCCTGGCCAAGCTGCCCAGGAGGTCCCTTGGTGCCCTGGGCTCTGTTTCACTGTTTTGTAGAGTAACTTCCCAGTGGAGCTGCCACTGGGCCCCATCCTAACAGGTGAAGTCCCCCAGGCCCTCCAGAGAGGAGGTGTGAACTGGAAGATGGGGAGGCAGGCGGCTCTGACAGACAGAAAGCAAACAGCTTAGAGGAGTGGCAGGCTGCATTTTATTCATCGTTAATTTAAACACCCTTTAAGTCCTCTCTTGGAGTGCTGCTCAGAAAAATAGATGTATTGTTTGAGAAACCCTGCAGGCTTGTCCCGCATGCTCTAGCCCCCTCCTGAGAGAACATATAGCATAAAAAATGATTTGTAAAGCAATGGGGAGCTTCCTTAGGGAAGAAGGGGAAGGGTAAGAGGGTCTCGGGCCAGGTCCGAGTGCAGAAATCCTCAATGCATGAGACTAGCGTGGAAGATGTAGCAATTGTGCTCTGGGGTGCCTGAAGGTGCCAGAGCTGCTCCAGGGGCAACAGTCCAGGCCCCAAGTCCATGCTGATGAGCCCACCCTGGGGGTCAGGAATGGCCTCAGCAGGCCCTCCCTCCCTCCCTCTCCACCCTACAAAGTGAGGAGCCTTCAGAGTCACCACGAGCACATTATACAACAAAACAACAACCCTGCAACAGATAAAGCCCCAGCGCCTCTTCTGGACTCAGAAGTGCCCTAGGCTGGCTGTCTGGCTGTGCTTTCCAGACAGTGTGCATGTGGAATTGTGCTTTTTGTTTTTTAAGAATGTAAAAAGTTACAGTAAGATCGAACCACAGGGCCCGTCGCTCCTATGGTCTCTGCCTGGCTGGGCTGCCGTCTGCCTCAGTTCCCCAGAAGCTTCTCTTTTGGCCATGAGGGCTCAGTCACCCCTCACCCCAGAGCCCACAGGAAGAGGGGGTCTGCTGGGAGGCCTGTCTGAAGGACGGAGGATCCTGGGTCAATTCAGCAGCTATTTTCCAGGGTTTGGCTTGGGTTTGGATGCTGGCTTCTGTGTGAAACCTGAATACATGCAAATTGTACATAAAACTCCCCCAAGGCAGAGAGGGATTTTCCAGGCCCTGGTACATCTCTAGGGAGTTAAAATGGGAACTCTTTCTTCTTAAAGTGGCCCAGACTGAGACTTTTCCTTGGGGAAAAGGGATAGTAGCTCTTTGTAAGGCTGGTGTGTATGTGTGTGTGTGTGTATATATATATGCATGATACTGTGCAAATGCCCAGGGCTGCCTGGCATTTTCCACAATATGAGAGCCTGAGATTGCCTAAGCCTTCTGATGCCTTCTCCAGGCCTGGAGGCATTGCTTCATTCAGAGGACACAAAGGCCTGGCCACCTCGCTTTAGCAAGCTAGGACACCCAGGGTGGCTTCTTTACCTTTCTGCTCAGCTCTGAGAAGGCTGCTCGCCAAGACTCTGGCTTCTATGTGGCCACAGTCATATGGCGAGGGCTTCTTGGAGCTCATTCCACCTTTAAGGGAGCCCCACAGCGCCGGCATGATGGGTAAGTTCAGGCCTAAGGTTAGGAAGCAACTCCGGGAGCGTGAGGAAATTGTAGGCTACAGTGAGCTACCAGTGGTGGGAAAAATGAGACCCCCAGGATAGTGAGAGAGGCCACAGCATCTGAGGGAATGGAGCTCTTTTTTGGTCTGAGGTCTAGAAGAACCTGCACCAAAGAAAGGCATCCCCCTGTTCCTGAAATGATGGGAGAACCACATGCCTGCTTCAGTGAAGCAGCCCCTGGCGTCTGGGGCACTGAGCCCTTTGGCCTGACATGAGGGACGATGGCGTGACGTATCATGGCATCATGTGACTGAGACTGGGTTGGGGGATGGGGACAGGGGAACATAGGCAAAAATAAACATGTGCCACTGGATCCTGAGCTGCCACTGTACCTTGGAGGACTGGCGTTTCTCTGGGAAGTTGGGGGGTGGGAAGGGGAAGGGTCTCATTTTCCTGCCCCTTGAAACCACGCTTACGATTCCTTTAGAAGATTGCTCAAGCTGCCTTCAATTGCCTCTTTCCAAAACCAAAGCATAAGAAAAGAAGTAAAAACAGCTGAGGCTGCAGCATAAGCAACTTGGGATAGAGTCTAGGAAGCACCGCCAACAGAGAAGACTGCCAAGAAATGTTTCGAGTTTTTCTTCTCTGGAGGTGGGTCCTGGTTCCTCCCATGGAGACCAGGATTCTGTGTAGTGCTGCACGCTGGGCGGGGGATTGCCTGGAGGTCTCTTTAGGCCTGTCTAGCTCACACAGTCTTGATGCCTGGGTTTTAGGTTGCTGGACTGTTGCTGGGGCTCACTTACTGTGCGTAGGCTGTTATTTTGCCCCCAGATCAAGTCCTCACTATCTACATGCCTCTATCATGGGGATCTCTTCTTCCCTTTCTGGACAGCTCTGATCCCCAAGTTATTTCCTGTTGCCTAGGTAACACCTCTAATTGAATGCCTTTTAATCGTTCCCTTTTTTAAAGGGATAAACGTGGATTTTATTTCCAGGTCCTGTCAGAGGGCCCTGCCCTAGAGAACATGTGTCCCTCTGAGTGGGCTATCCCTTCACTGTGACCGCAACCATGGCTTGGATGTGGGGGCACTCGCTGGGCTGGCCTGACAGTCACAGTGAATCCTGAAAGCATGGTTTTCACAGGAGCCCACCATTCAGTATTTAGCAAGACTGACCTCTCTCCTGGCCAGCGCTGCTTCACTGGCTTCACCCCAGATTAGGGTCCATATTTAAAAACTAATCCCAACTCAAACCAGAAATTACCCAAAATAGCTGGAGAGTCACTGAGATCTCAGGTAAGCTTTCCCTTCCTGCCATGAACTAGAAGGGGAAAGAAGAGTTTGACATTCAAGTTTGACTCAAATGCTGTATGCGTGAGCGCATGCGTGCATGTTTGTGTATGTGTGTGTTCCAGGCACATTTGCCAGGGAGAGAGATTTCACAGCATGGCTCGAGCTGGAGGCGGTGAGGCGGTGCTTTTCTAAGACTTCCTATCAGAAGCTCTGCCTACTGGTGGGTCACGCCGTGCCTGTATAAACTCTGGCACCTGTCCTTGCCCTCATCATAGATGAGAAAAATGGCCAGAGAGTGTTTGTTTACAGCCCCAGACCACCATCCTTTCAACGAAGCCTAGGTATCTGGCCTTCCTCCAGGTCAGGGGCCCCCGTTCTGCAGAAGGCAAGTCTGGGAGAATCTGTCCCTCGCCTGAGAGCAAAACTTTAATCCTAACATTACTTCCATCCACAAGTTTCACCAGCTCCCTCCCTCCTGCCTTCCTCTACCTCCAACAGGCTGTTCATGGAGAAGACAAATCCTCTTGATAAACAATATTTAGAAAGGGATTCTGTCTTTCCTGACCCCAAACACATCATGGCCTCTGGAACCAAACACTCTGACATTTGCAAGATGGCTTCTTTTGGGTTCCTGGTGCTGCAGGCCCTGGTTCCCAAGAACGCAGCTGGCAGAGCTGCCTCTTTCAGAGGAGGAGGAGAAGCTGGAGGGCTGCGCCCAGCAACCCCATGATCTCTCAAAGGGGGAAAAGTTGAACTCATCAACAGTAGTTAAGAAAAAAAAAAAAAAAAAAAAATCCACACCAACAAAGAAATATCTTGTCTGAGGAGACTCAGATATTCCTGGTTAATATTGAAAAGGCCTGTTGTGGATGAGCTTGTGAAAGAAAGGACGGTTGGGGGATTCAAGATCTGCCGATCGGAGCCTGGAGATTAGCCAGCTAAAGCCCAGCAGGGCTCCTGCAGCCTCAGCGCTCCCCTCCTCACAGGTGCCCTGGACTGCCCGCCATTAGAAGTAGCTGCCCTGTGCTCTGTGCTAAATGGACTAACTTTGGGCTGAGAAAGGCCAGCTAAGCCCCTCACCACTGCAATTTCCAAATCTGGGGGAAATGCCACAGTCCGCAAGTTGGTGCTATGTTTCATCTCATTGCATAATACTACACCATTCTCTGTGTGTAGTGGCTGTTCTATATATATACATCGGGAGGCAACATATGGCTGTCCCTACCCCCACCTGTCAAAACTGTGACTATATCACTTCTGACGACCAGAAGGAAGCTGCTAGGCTGGGCCAGGATTCTAAATGCTGAGGAGGTAATTCAGAGCCACGAAAAGTTGCACCATATGCTTTGGGGTTGCCGGCTGCTTCTGTGCATGGGGACGGGGTTTAGTGCCAGTCTGCAAAACCCTCCTCGCTGCGGTATGCCCTGGGTGGGGACCTAGGGGGGCCACGTTTTCTCTCCCTGAAGGAGAATCTGCTGGGGGCCACGGTTCTCGAAAAGGGAACTCACAAGGAACACAGGCGTCCCCAAAACCTGCCCTTGATAACATCAGGCCTGGCCAAATAGTATTTCTTTAAAAAAATTTTTTTTTGTTTCATTTTATTGGATAAAGATTAAGAAAGCGCCAGCAGTGACTGAGAGAAGGGAAGCAAACCACGCCCGGCGGCCCCGCGGCCTGGAGAGGGTCCCTGGCGCGGGCGGACGGGCGGTCTACCTGGAGGCGCTGGTCTCGGCCAGCCGGTTGTTCATGATGCCCAGGGCGCCCACGCCGCCCGAGAAGCCGTTCTGGCGCGTGTTGACGCACACGCTGCGCGGGTAGCCGTTGGCCGTCTCCGACAGCTGCTTCTGCAGCAGCGCCAGCGACACCTTGTTAGAGGCCGTGAGGTCGCGCATGGAGATGAGCTCGCCCGAGAGGCGGCGGCCCTCGGCGTCGCTGTCGCGGGCCGCGGGGTCGGCGCCGAGCGCGGCCAAGCGGCGGCGCAGCCGAGAGCCCGGGGTGATGGCATTGCGCCGGGACAGGGGCGCGCCGGGCGCCGGGCAGCAGCGCGCGCAGCAGCGGCAGCTCAGCTTGCGCAGCATCCAGTTGAGCACCTGCTTGATGAGGATGGAGATGACGTTGAAGAGCGAGTAAATGCAGCACACGCCGAGCAGGATGAAGAGGAAGTTGCCCAGGCGGTAGAGCCCCTGGTTCCGGTAGGCGGCGTGCTGGCTGCTCACCAGATCCCCGAAGCCGATGGTGCTGAAGGTGACGAAGCAGAAGTAGAGCGAGTCCACGTAGTCCCAACCCTCCACGCTGGTGTACATGGCCGAGGCGCAGCACGACAGCAGCACGGCGAACAGGCCCAGGATGAGCAGCACGTGATACACCGAGGGCTTCCAGCCCGCCAGGCTGTCGGCCTCCGAGAGCGCGGAGCCACGGCGGAAGGTGGCGGGCAGCAGGCCGCTGCGGCGCAGCTGACGCTCCCGGCAGGCGCGCATGATGAAGGCCAGCAGCGAGATGATGCGCTCCAGGAAGAGGTTGAAGAACAGGATGGTCCCGGCGCAGCCGAACAGCCCATAGGCGATGAGGAAGGCCTTCCCGCCCACCGTCGCGGGGGTGGTCATGCCGAAACCTGTGGAGACAGGGCAAGGTCAGCGCGGTCCTGGCCGCGCAGGTGGTCCTCACTGGGCGTCAGGGGGGACGGGGGCGGGGGCATGCAGGTGCTTGCATGGCTCCTATCTCCAGTGGCACCACTCAGGTAGAGGAAAAACAGCACTTAGTCATTTCTCTCCCTTGGTGGCACCTGATAGGGTTCTTGATCTTGGCAGCCCCTAAACTGATGGAGGAGACATGGCCCTTCATCTTGGGGACCTGTAAACCCAAGTGGGTGGGGCAGGTAGTCACTAGGAAGGATCCATCGTGACAAAAAATAGAAACCACTGCTGCACAGGTGCAAACCACTGAGATACCCACAAAGCCAACCAGGGACACCTGCTCTCCCACTCCTCCAAATTGTTTAAAAACTGTCATTTAGTTCATAAATACATTAATATACTAGAGTAGGTGAGTTTTGTTGGGTGAATTACAAATATTTACATTAGAAATCAAAACCAACATAGATCTCTTCAAAGATATCTAGCTGCTTATGTGCTTGTGCACTTTTTATACCAGTCTTGTTACTTGGAAACTCCACTGCCTACTTGAGAATGATGAAAAAAGCCGAGTAATCTTAGTGCTGTGACTAATTTTCACTTCACAGGCACTTCGAAAAGGCCTTTGCTCAAAGGATCATATTTTCTTTTTGGCGGGGGGGGGGGGACAGGTTCTTTGTCACCCAGGCTGGATGTAGTGGTACAGTCATAGCTCACTGCAGCCTTAAACTCCTGGGCTCAGGTGATCCTCCTGCCTCAGCCTCCCAAGTGATAGGACTGCAGGTGTATGCCACTATGTCCAGCAAATTCTTTGTTATTTTTTCTAGCGGCGGAGAAAGGACCATATTTTCTTAGTCTGCCAACATTTCATGCCTCTGGAATTGGGCATAAGGCCAAGTGGGTAGTCCGTCACTTCCCTAGTTCTTACAATGTGAATATGGGGTGACAAGAGAATGTGCATTTCAAATCAATTCCCAGATGACTCCAAAGTCTTTCACACTAGAATAGCAGGCTTTTCTGTTTAAAGGGCAGTTTTTAAAGAGTTGTCATATGTGCCCAATTTTTTTCTCAACTGTGCCATAGATTTTCAGTCCCTCCCTGTTATTAAAAAAAATCGGTTTACCAACTCTGCCTACTAACGAAAGGACCCCAAAATTAAGTGTCAATGCTCAAAAGTCAACTGCAGCTCCTCTTCTTTCCTCAAGTAAGTTATTTGGAATTGGAATGAATCCAAGCTGAACAACTGTTGACTATGAGTCTTTCTCCAAAAGCCTGGTTTTTAAATGTAACCTGTAGCACACCTGGGCGGGCAGCCTTGTTAGGGAAGCATTAATAGGGCTTTGCCTTAATTGGGACTGCTTACTCTGGGACCAGGTAGAGTGTAACCAGGTAGCTAGAGTTAATGGTCTCTGAAAAGAGCTTTGTGAGGCTGACAAAAGGATTGTTTGAGAGTAGTCAACCCACACCCTTCAGAGATTGAGCATGGCTCTGCCACTGGGTGCCGGCCCCTTCTCAACCAAGGGTCACCATCAATCATCCTTGCTCACACTTGTGGCCAAAGGCAGGCTCTGGCCCAGCTGGGTCCTGTGCTGCTGGTATGTCTAAAATTGCTTTGTTCTGGGAGGTCTACACAACTGCATATTGCTTCAGGCCCTTATCGTTGTTAACTTACCACTTGTTCAAAGCACAGACTTTAAGGGTGTCTTTATCAATTGATTTCTGCAGAAGGTGTGGCTGCCTGCCAGTGTGCTCACCCATGCCATCCAGGGCAGTGCAGAGTGGCAGCTCTGCCTCTCCAGATTGAGCTCCCTGCCTAGTGCTGGCTGTGGTCTGTGGGACCCATGGTTGCCTGACTCTGGCTATGGGAGGGGGTTTCATCTCTTAGTGGAAAGATTCACTTACTGCTTCGAGTCAGCTGAAAACAATGGATCGTTTGTCTGAGCAGCACCATGGTACTGTTCAACACCTCTGGCAGCGATCAGGGGCATCCCTGTTTAATTTGTGCCCTATGGCAAAAAGGCTACCTGTGCCCTGCCAGTGGGGTGGGGCCAGCCCTGGGAAAGTGGAGAAGAGTTTGTCTTATGTGGCTTTCTAGTTCTCTAAACAGACTATAGAAAATATTTCTTGTAATACTTTCAGAGTACATTCCTTAAGCCTATGCATATAGGCTTAATCATTTTCTAGACTATCTGAAGAAAATGCGCAGTTGCCTGAGCGTGGTGTTCATCTTATGCTTAATGACTCAGGTTAGGGAAAAATCTTATGTTACCCATGTTGAGGAAGATGAATTATGTCCCTAGATTCACAGAAAGTGAAAAAAACCAAAGTAGCTATGTAACCAAGAACTTGATAGAGGGATTTTGCTATATTTTAAAGCCACACTCAAGTTCTTGAGTTTATAAAGAAATCAACTCTGAATTTACATGGCTATAAGTGGAGTGGGAGTGTATGTGTATATTTATAAAACGTTTTAGACCAATAACCTAAATGTCTAACAACACAACTAAATGATTGTCTATTCATGAAAACTATACAGCAATTAAAAAGCATGAACCGGCCGGGCATGGTGGCTCAAGCCTGTGATCCCAGCACTTTGGGAGGCCGGGATGGGCGGATCATGAGGTCAGGAGATCGAGACCATCCTGGCTAACACAATGAAACCCTGTCTCTACTAAAAAATACAAAAAGTTAGCCTGGCGTGGTGGCGTGCGCCTGTAGTCCCAGCCACTCGGCAGGCTGAGGCAGGAGAATGGCGGGAACCCGAGAGGCGGAGCTTGCAGTGAGCTGAGATTGCGCCACTGCACTCCAGCCTGGGCGACAGAGCGAGACTCCGTCTCAGAAAAAAAAAAAAAAAAAAAGCATGAACCATAGCTACTTGCAACAACACGGATAAATCTCACAAAAAGAATGTTGAACAAAATAAGCTGGACACAAAAGAATACATTCTGCATTGTTCCATTAATATAAAATTCAAAATCAGGCCAAAGTACAGCCTTTTTTAGGGAGGCATGCATGGTTGGTAAAATTATAAGGGAAAGCAAGGAAGTAATTTTGATAAAAGTCAGAATTGGGACTTCCTCTAGAGCATGGCAGGGGGTAGTAGCTGAGAGGGGACACAGGGGACCTTTGGGGTGCTAGAAATGTTTCTGTTGACCTGGGTGGTAGTTACATGTGTGTTAGCTGTATAATAATTTGTCAAATTGTATGTTTTGTGAGTTTTTTTGTACTCATAATGAGAAAAAAAATTTAAATTTCTAGACTGTTAGAACTCTCAGATACCCAATTCTGATGTACCCCTCACTATATAGGTGAGGGAGTAGGGGCTGAGGGGCTGTGACCTGCATCTTGGGGACAGACTCCCACCTCTTTGTCCTGGCTTCAAGCCTGGTACATAGACCAGTATACAGAACACTGCATCTACTCACTGAGGGAAAACAAAATCTCTTATAGAAGGATAACTCTGTTAAATTCCTAAGGTAATTGAAAATCCTGGGCCTGGAAAACTAATACTTTGTCTAAGAAAATGTTGAATTGGATTTTTCAGCTAAAGCCTCAAAGCTGAGAACAGTATGTGTACATTTCTGCCCATTCTAAAGAGAAGTTCCAGACACATCCATGCTGGACTCACTAAAACAGCAAAACAGGTCTGGGGCTAGCAACCCCCCACACCCCCACCTCCAGGCTATACGGAAAGGCTAGGGATTGATGGAATCTTCCATCAATTGGGAAGTCATTGTGGGGAGTTGTTGTGACAGTGGGGAGTGCTGTGGATTCTTTCACTCACCCCCAGGCCAGGGGATGAGTTGGAGCAGGGAAGGTCAAAAGGACTAATGGGGCCGGGCACCGTGGCTCACGCCTGTAATCCCAGCACTTTGGGAGGCTGAGGCAGACGGATCATGAGGTCAGGAGATCGAGACCATCCTGGCTAACACAGTGAAACCCCGTCTCTACTAAAAAATACAAAAAGTTAGCCTGGCATGCTGGCGTGCGCCTGTAGTCCCAGCCACTCGGCAGGCTGAGGCAGGAGAATGGCATGAACCTGGGATCTGAACCTGGGAGGCGGAGCTTGCAGTGAGCCCAGATCGCGCCACTACACTCCAGCGTGGGCGAGAGCGCGAGACTCCGGCTCAAAAAAAAAAGAGGACTTATGGAGCTTCAGCAAGAAGAAAGCCCAGCAGCTCACTTCCCAGCTGGCTGGGCATAGTCGCTTACAGGCCCACCTAGAATGGAGCATGGTGAGAGTCCTGGGAGAACCCGGCAGTGTCCCCTGGAGTCCAGAGCTGTGCTCGAGAGTTCTCTGGCTGGGAGGCTGACTGGGGTAGCCCCCACAGGCACGGGAGGAAGAGGGCAGTCACGGGAGCCATCTGCACTTCAAGGGCTTGCTGCATCAGGAGGCGTGAGGGTGACATGGGTCACTAGAGGGTGACAAGTGGATACTGAGAGGAAGAGATCTGAAGAGTCTGCTCAAGAGGACCACCTGCTGGAGCAAGGGGGCCCTAGCAAGAAGAGGCTGAGGGGCAGAGGGCTGGGGATGGCATGAGAAGGAGTCACAGGAGGAAGGATGGAGAGGGCAGTGCCCGCTCACGGAATGGGGTAGGGAGTGGTCCCTGTGCAGGGCTCCCAAGGACCCATAAATAGGTGCCATGAAAGCACATATGCCTGTTCTAACAGGGAGCCTTGCAACCCCACCAGCAAAAGTTAAGAAGGAATGATAGTGGCTCCAGTGATGCAAGATCACCCCCATGCCCCATCCACTGCAGGTCCCCTGAGCCATGTGTCAGCCTGGAGCTAGAGGGGGAGGCTAAACTGATTAGAAGTGAATTTGAAGATTTGATTAAACATCTGAGAATGTCTCAATCTTAAAACTGGTACTTAACAACAAAAGAGGCTGGGCGTGGTGGCTCACGCCTATAATCCGAGCGCTTTGGGAGGCCAAGGTGGGCAGGTCACCTGAAGTCGGGAGTTTGAGACCAGCCTGACC